AAGTCCTTTTTCAGATATGTGGGGAGCCGGAGGAAAAGCAAGGGCAACATTTGACCCCTGCTAAACCAGATGAGACAACTGATGCCCAGGAAAAAGCCAACCTATTTAATGCGTACTTTGCTTCGGTCTTTTATCGGTCCCATGGGACGCCCATGCCCGCTATGAGACAGGGAGGTCCGGGTGAGGGAGATCCCTTGTCCTCCATCAATGTGGACCCTGGTAAAGGAACACCTTGAGAGGCTGGATACCTTCATGTCAGCTGGCCCTGACAATCTACATCCCAGGGTACTCAAGGAGCTGGCGAGCATCATCACTCAGCCCCTGGCACGGATCTTTGGGAACTTCTGGCGCTCTGGTGTAGTGCCTGAAGACTAGAAAAAGGCCAATGTGGTGCCTATCTTCAAGAAAGGGAGGAAAGTGGATCCGGCAAACTATAGGCCCATTGGCCTGACTTCTATCTTGGGGAAGATCTTAGAAAAGTTTATTAAAGAGGCCATCCTTAATAGACTGGCCAACACCAACATCCTGAGGGATAGCCAGCACGGGTTTGTTGCGGGTAGGTCTTGCTTGACCAATCTCATTTCCTTCTACGACCAGGTGACCTATCACCTGGACAAGGGAGAAGAGATTGATGTGATATATCTTGACTTCAAAAAAGCCTTCAATCTGATATCCCATGATCACCTCTTGGTGAAACTGGTCAGTATTGGCCTTGAGTCCACCACAATCCATTGGCTGGGAAATTGGCTCTGTGTTTTGACCAGTTAATAGAACTTTGACCAGTTTATAGAACTTCTGTCTTGGACCCCTTCCTAATTTAAGTTAAATCAGAGTCCCGTAGGATGCTTTTCAGCCCTGGGCTGGTCTGAGCTATCTGCTTCAGAGAGTAGGGCTGGTCTTGCCCCTCTCCTCCCTAGCAATAGCTCTGGCTGGCTGAGAAGTTGGGTGGGGAGGGGCTACAAGCATGGCAGCATCTGCCTGGCTTCCTCCTTCCCCATCCTCCCCTTGGTCACAGCTCAAGCAGGGATCGCCTCTCTCCCACAGCAGGGAACCCAGCAGCACAGACCTCAACCGACTTCTGGCCACACCATCCCCATGCTAGCTAATTCTGAGAGGAGTCTGCATGTGTCTCCAATTTCACTGGAACAAAAACAGACAGAACAGTGTCTGCTTAGGGATTTTTTGGAACTAATCAACAGGTCAGCTGGTAATGCCTTCCTTACAAATGCCTTGGAAAAATGTGTTTAAGAGTTTGAGTAATGAGAGAGGTTTTTGTTTTCTTGATAGGATGATAACCTTTGTGTTTTGATAAGCTGCCTGCTGACTTGCTTAAAAGGCTGCAATCTGTCAGTGTTAAAGAGGGACAGAGAGAGGTGTGAGAAATTACTTGGTTTGTAGTAAATATAGTGCCTGTCAGTTTGCTTC